CTGGGGTGTAATCCATCTGGTCCTGGCGATTTGAACTCATCTAGGCTGGACAGGTGCTCCCTAACCATTTTCTTGCCTATCTTAACTTGTGTTTCTGTTTTGTTTTTTATGGCACTATTTTTGATAGGTTGGTCTGTTTTTTCCCTTTGTGTAAAGACAGATGCAAAACACGAGTTAAATAGTTCTGCTTTCTCCCTGTTGTTTGTCACCTTCTTGCCACTTCCACCCACTAATGGACCAATCGTTTCCTTCACTTTTTTCTTGTTTTTTACATGTTGAAAGAAGCTTTTTTTGTTATTTTTGACTTTGGTCGCAAGCCTTAGTTCATTTTGAGCCTTGGCTTTCTTCACTTCATCTTTGCAGGCTCGGGCTATTTGCTGATATTCTGACTTAGTTATGTTCCCCTCTTTCCACTTTCTATACTTGTCCTTTTTATCTTTCAATTTGTCAGAGAGTTCTTTATGCAGCCATGCTGGTTTCTTTTGAGAGCTGTTGTTTTTCCTCTTTGTTGGTATTGTGCTAGACTGTGCTTTTATTATCTCATTTTTCAAAATTTCCCAAGCTTCTTGAGTTGTTTTCCCCTTGAGGATTCTCATCCATGGAATCCTTCCCAAGCCCTCTCTAAGTTTATTGAAATTAGCTCTCTTGAAGTCCAAGACTCTAGTTTGACTGTGTTCTATTGGTTGTGCTTCTATAATGTTGAATTCTAATATTGCATGATCACTTCCTCCCAGGGTTCCTATGGCTTCAACACCGTCTATCATTTCATCTCTGTTAGTGAGAATTAGATCCAAGATGGCTAATCCCCTAGTTCCCTTCTCTACTTTTTGGGAGACAAAGTTGTCTGCTAGGTTTGCCAGGAACCTGTTTGATCTTCCACTTGGTGCGGAGTTTGTCTCCCAGTTGATGTCAGGGTAGTTAAAGTCCCCCATTACTATTGTGATGTGCTTCCTACATACCTTAGTTAGCTGACTGGCAAAAAGTTCATCTATTTCCTCTGTTTGGTTGGGTGGTCTGTAGTATACACCTATAGCAATGTCATTTCCCCCCCCCTTTTATATTGACCCAAATGCATTCAAGATAGTTTTTATCATTGTTGTACTCTATTTCTGTGGAGATGTAGTTATTTCTTATATAGAGAGCAACTCCACCTCCTCTTTTATTTGGTCTGTTTCTTTTAAATAATTTAAATCCCTCTAGCTGTGTGTTCCTGAAACCCTTTCCGGGGAAAATACCCAGTGAAGAAAAAAGGCAAAATAGCTGCATAAGATCATCTTACTAGTAATATTACAGGCATTTGGCTTGGAAATATTTGCTGAAAGGTTTTGTGGATTTATAGCTTACAGTTGAGAATCAGGAACACACAGTGAGTGGCCTCATAATTTTCAGAAGTGGTTTGCCATTGCCTCCTTCCTGGGGCTGAGAGTGAGTGAGTGGCCCAAGGTTACTCATTTGCTTTGTTTCTAAGACAGGACTTGAACTCAGCCACCTGGTTTCTAGCCTAATGCCTTAACCACTAAACCGACATGACTGCATAAATGTGAGTATTGCCCAAAATAAGTCATCAATGTGCCGTAAATAATCTTAGTCTGCTGTAGAACCTTCCCTAGAAATTAACCTAAGAAGGGGATCTTCGAGGCAGAAAACTAATTTAATAATATGAAACATAATAATAATAATAATAATAATAATAATAATAATAATAATAATAATAATAATAATAATAATAATGCAACAGACACTAAGTGTTGCCTATGCAAAGAAGCTGAAGAAACAGTGGACCACCTGGTAAGCTGTTGCGAGAAGATCGCACAGACTGACTACAAGCAACGGCATGACAAAGTAGCAACAATGGTGCATTGGAAGATCTGCAAAAAATATCATTTGCCTGTAAGAAAAAACTGGTGGGATCACAAAATAGAGAAAGTCATAGAAAATGATAAAATTAAACTGCTCTGGGACTTCAGAATTCAAACAGACAAGCAAGCACCTGCAACATAACACCCCAGACTTAACCATTATCGATAAGAAAGAGAAAAAAGTCTGGATAGTGGACGTGGCAGTGCCTGGAGACAGCAGAATAGACGAGAAAGAACTGGAGAAGATAACAGAATACAAAGACCTATAAATAGAAATAGAAAGACTGTGGCAAAGGCAAGCAAGGGTAGTACCAGTAGTCATAGGCGCCTTGGGTGCGATCCCAAAACAACTGGAGCACCACTTGAACACCACTGGCACTGACAAATTCGCTATTAGTCAGTTGCAAAAGGCGGCCTTACTAGGAACTGCTTTCATCCTGCGATGATACCTGTAATACCATCAAATACCCACATCTGCCTATCCCAGGTCCTGGGTAAGGACTCGATCGGTAGACAAAATGCCAAATCCAGTCTGAACATCTGGCTGACTGTGCGATGATCCATAATAATAATAATAATAATAGTAGTAGTAGTAGTAATAGTAGTAATAATAATAATGCAGTTAATACTGTATATACCATTAATTTTAAAGATTTAGGAGTTGTACAGTTCACACAAGAATCCACAGATCCAGTTCTGTTATGCATGGTACTTTCCTTCCCATAAAACGAAACTAACCCGAAATCAGTGGATCCTTTGGATGTCAAGATTATTATCCTGGTCAGCAGCAAAATGGTTTGCAAAATAATGATCTCACTTCCAGCCCTGCAGGATGCTCTGAATTGGGAAGTCAGCTGTAATACTGCAAATGGTGGTCAATCAATCAATCAGAATAGAGCTGGAAGGGACCTTGGAGGTCTTCTAGTCCAACTCCTGCTCAAGCAGGAGAATCTATACCATTTCAGACAAGTGGCTGTCCAGCCTCTTAGAAATCTCCAGTGATGGGCCACCCACGATTTTTGGAGGGAAGCCATTCCACTGGTTAATTGTCCTCACTGTTAGGAAGTTTCTCCTTAATTCCAGATTGCTTCTCTCCTTGATTAGTTTCCATTCATTGTTTCTTGTCCTGCCTTCTGGTGCTTTGGAAATTAAGTTGACTCCCCCTCTTTGTGGCAGCCCCTCAAATACTGGAAGACTGCTATACCCCACCCCTCCAGTCCTTATTTTCTCTAGACTAGCCATACCTAATTACTGCAACCGTTCCTCATATGTTTTAGCCTGTGAGCCTTTAATCATCCTAGTTATTCTGTCCACTTTTTCCAAAGTCTGAACATCTTTTTTGTAATGTGGCCCATGCAGTATACTTGGCTGCAGTATTCCAGGTGTGGTCTTACTAAGGTTTTATAAAGCGGTACTAATACTTCACATGATTTTGATTCTATGCCTCTGTTTATATAACCAAGGATTGTATTAGCTTTTTTGGCTACTGCCGCACATGGCTGGCTCATGTTTAAATGGTCTCCCAGTGGCGGTGGACATGCCTCCTTCACATGCTTTTCAGATTCATTTACAGAAATCATTTTCCATAGGAAACTGGGGCAGAGAATGTATATGTTTGAAGAATCTCAGGTCATATTGTTCTCTTTTAGGATCGCAGGACTAATTCCAACTATTATTTAGATTCCTACTGCAATATATTAGCTACTTTTCATTGTCCTGAAAAGCCTTTTGATCACACATTTCTGACAAACCTTGAAATGTGTTTGCTAGCAAATTTGTTTTTGTTTTTTATTTTTAACAGCTACCTTTCATGTTTATGATTAGTGCTTTGCCAAAGGCCTTGTCCAAATGGATCTAAATAAAACATTGTTATATTGTTTGTTGTAGGACTGGATTCTTATTTCTGTGGACATACCTGATGAATCCTTTATACCTTAGCATAAAATATGGATGTGATATGTGCAGTTATTTGCCACATTAAAAACAGTATGGCTTAACAAATTCCATTACATGTATCTCTCTGGCATTTCATTTCATTTGAACGCTGCATGTTTTCTGGAAATATTCAACATCATAAACTGGAATTAATTTACTTGCTTACAAATAAAAATATCAAATTTACAGAAGATCTGTTTTCAGACTAAAACACAGGTAGCGATATAATGGAGCCTGCTTATTATGGTCATAAGTTGTGATAGTGGTAAAGCTGGTCACCCACAATGACCAGATTTCAGTAGCTTTTTTTGCCACAGTCATTAAGAAATTCAAAAATATTTATATTTAGCAAAAAATATAAATCACAATCACATGACCTTAAGATACTGCAAACAACCGTAAACATGGGCCAGTTGTTGAGCACTTAAAAAATGTGGTCAAGTATTATAATAATTCAGGGACATATTCTCATGTTTGGTGGACATGTGATAAAGCAAAGAGCTATTGGAAAATGATACATAGTTGGTTAGAAAAGATATTGTAGATTTTAAACCTGAACTTTTCTTATTTGGTATAATGCCAGAAAAGATTAACAAACAAAGCTTATATTTGATTTTACACATCACAACAGCTGCAAGAATAATGTTTGCGCAATATTGGAAAAATGAAGGAATACCATCAGAGGAAATAATAATTAAAAAAAAAATACTAGAATGTGCAGAGATGGACAGATTGACTATAAGATTGAAAGAAAAAGAAGAAACAGAATATTATCAAACTTGGGACTTATTTTATCAATGGCTAGAGGAAAGAATGAAGGACTAGGAATTAAATATGTATTAGCGTTTTTTAAACCCAGATAGCACGTTGGTTGAAAAATTATTATATGTATGTAAGAAAAAATCAATAAAACCTTATTTTAAAAATGTGGTCAAATAACTGTGGGTGGGTATGGAAACCATGTTGGAACTTTGAAACTGGATCATAAATACTTTGGGGGGGGTTCTATTAGGATTTTGAATGGTCATTAAGCAACCATTCATAAGTCAAGGACTACTTGTATAGTAATTTGCTAGAAATAATGGAGGAATGGGTTTTTTTAGGTCAATGCTATATCATAGAGGTAGGTATCTATGGTGAACAACAGGCATATTTTTTTTAAAGTCCAAAAATCATTTTACAACGCCATGTTTCATCTCTTTACAGCATCCCAATGTAATCTCAGTTTGAAAAAGCAGAGGAGCAGAAGCATCTTTAGCACTTTATTCTGCTGCTTTCGTGACTACAATGTCGAGTCTCCGTCTCCCAACAGCCCCAGTGTCCTTCCTCCATTCGTGGAAGAAAATGGCGGGCTTCAAAAGGTAAGTTAGTTTTTTAATAGGGTGAGTTTTGCGGGGAAGGTAGAGCCTTATATGAGTAAACACAATTATAAATTGTCATCTAGTTCATATCAGATAAGGTACTGAATGTCTTCAGTCCTTACTGAGAATCATTGAGAACAAGACTAATTCTTTTTCTCTTTGTGGCCATAAGTAGCTGGATCGGAAAAATGGTCAAAGCCTCCTTTAAAGAGTTGGTTTAGTGCAAGGGTAGGCCACTTTGGCTCTTTTATGACTCGTGGACTTCAACTCCCAGAATTCCTGAGCCAGCCATGCTGAGGGGAAAGGGAGAGGTTTCCAAGCTGAGCCATGCTGGCTCAGGAATTCTGGGAGTTGAAGTCCACGAGTCATAAAAGAGCCAAGGTTGCCTATTCCTGATATAGGGTGTCATGCTGGCAGAGAAATTCTGGGAGTTAAAGTCTCCTCATCTTCCTAGTAACTCAGGGGTAGGCCACCTTGGCTCTTTTATGACTCGTGGACTTCAATCCCAGAATTCCTGAGCCAGCCATGCTGAGGAGAAAGAGAGAGTTTGCAAGCCGAGCCATGCTGGCTCAGGAATTCTGGGAGTTGAAGTCCACGAGTCATAAAAGAGCCAAGGTTGCCTATTCCTGATATAGGGTGTCATGCTGGCAGAGAAATTCTGGGAGTTAAAGTCTCCTCATCTTCCTAGTAACTCAGGGGTAGGCCACCTTGGCTCTTTTATGACTCGTGGACTTCAATCCCAGAATTCCTGAGCCAGCCATGCTGAGGAGAAAGAGAGAGTTTGCAAGCCGAGCCATGCTGGCTCAGGAATTCTGGGAGTTGAAGTCCACGAGTCATAAAAGAGCCAAGGTTGCCTATCCCTGGTATAGAGTCTCCTTTTCTGAAAGCACTTTCCCAGGATCTAGTTATGTAAGACAGCACCCTATCCCTGACCTTCTCTTTATTGGGAAGGTTGTGGACAAGATGGTAGAACTTCAGTGACTGTTCTCTTTTCAGCTGAGTTTTAAGCTTGGCATGGAATGAAAATGCCATTTTTTACAGTGGTTCTATTTGGACTGTACCGGGGTGTTGATGGGTGGAACATCTGCCCTATGGATGCCTCTTTATATGGTCCATAATTCCATCATTCCTACTCTTTAATACCTCCATGAAACCTCTGAGAGAAATCATCTGTTCATCTGGTTTTCTGGCTACTCCAGTTCTGACTCTGGTTATGATAGCAATTTCCCTGAAGGATCAAATACCCAGCCTGATAAATTTTTGGATTGACAACTATGCTGTATTTGCCACTGTTAGGGTGTACGTATGCTAGCTATAACTGAGCTAGCTATATAACTATATAATTCTCAATCACCCAGGTCATGATTGTCCCAAAGGTGCTTTTTCAAAAGGCAACTGGAGTTTCATTGTTTTTCCTTGAAGACGTTTTGCTTCTCATCCAAGAAGCTTCTTCAGTTCTAACTGAATGGTGGAGGATGGAAGTGGCCTCGGTGACTCTCAGAGGGAGCGCTAACGACCAGATGACGGCAAGGCATGTAAATCCCTTCATCCTCCACTATTCAGTCAGACTTCTTGTTTTCAAGAAAAAAACAAGGTCCAGTTGCCTTTTAAGGAAAAAAAAAAGCACCTTTGGGTGTGCTAGTATGATCCTATCTGCAGCAAGAAGTTCTAACTCATTCCTTCCTCACTACTATTGTAGATTGTTAGACTACTATAGTATAGGATCTGCTCTTGAAAATTTCCATGTATAATTTAAAATGCTGGGTTTAACTTTTAAAGCCCTGTGTACCTCCCAGGTACTTTCTGGATTGATTTCTCCAAATATTTCATGCTTATCTCAGATGAAGATGCTTAGAGTTTCCCATAGAAGGTATCAGTGCCCCCCCCCCAAAATAACCCATATCTCTGTCATGTACATCATCCTGTGGAACAGCATACACCGAGAAACTTAGCTCCTACCTCTTCTAGCCTCCTTGCAGAAGATGGCTAAGAGAATTTCTCTGAAAGACTCTGAGTTACAGTATAATTTGCTGCCATGTATGTTAATATTGGCATCATGGTTATCATTTTATTATCCTGCTGAAATTGCTTTAATAATTTTAATCTGAAATTGATTTTATTGTATTCTTGGTTTTATTTCCATTGTAAACTACCATGAGGTAGATTGATTCAGTGATACATACAATGAATACATTTTTACTCTGTCTGTATCTGGCTATTAAAATAGGCAGTCATTACTTCGCTTTCAAATAGGTAATCGGTTTTCCTTGAATTCAATAATATATTATTGTATTAATGTATTAAATCATGCAAGTCAAATCAGTTGATTTGAAATAGAGTGATTGGCTGCAGTGGGATGTGCTCTTAAGTATGTCTATAACTGGATCCATGTCCTATTTAAGTTACCCTGTGATAAGATGGGCGGCCAATAAATTCGATAAATAAATAAAATAAAAATTTAAGCTTAGTTACTGAACCTAAGGGAGGGTTAAAAATTAATTGCTAATTTTAATAATGTATAGATAAATATTGGTCCGGTACTGATGTCACGCTGTATAAGCAGCAAACCAAAATTTATTGGCAGGGCAAAAATCAAAGCTGTAAAAAACAGCCAGCACTCCTTTTTGCAATATCTGTTGAAAATATCAAAATTTCTAGTAATGGTTCTTTTGCAGTTCCTTGATAATGTCTGTTGACACCAAATTTACTTCTCTTAATTTAACCAATTTCTTAAACTCTTTTTTTTTAGTTTTAGTTGGAAAGCCTTTATGTATTAAATCTCACATGTCTGTTTATTTTATGTTCTACTGTTCTGAAATATTACACTCTTACAAACTTATTTTTTCCCTTGTTTTCCCCTCAGGGTGACCAGATGCAGGTCATTCCCATTCCAAGTGTATGTATTTTTTTAATATTCTTTTTATGTTCAGTTTCTTTTAATGTTCTTGATTTGGAATCAGATAGTTCGTATTTGTGTGTGTGTATGTGTTGCATGCCGACAAGATCTTACTACAGCTGGACACCTCACAAAACCGTATCTTAGTAAGCAGAACTCACAGGAAGCATGAATTCCACTATTCCAGTTTGTTGATTCACTTTCACAAGCTGGCAATACGTGGATGCACAGTAGGTTTTTGTGCAACAACCCTTGTTTATCATGTGCTCAACAACCAAAGGGTAACTTGCAACATCCTACTTTCCAAGGCACCCGAAGGTAGGACAAGAAGCAACGGATGGAAACTGATCAAGGAGAGAAGCAACCTAGACCTTAGGAGAAATTTCCTGACAGTGAGAACAATTAACCAGTGGAACAACCTGCCTCCAGAAGCAGTAAATGCTCCAACACTGAAAGTTTTTAAGAAGAGACTGGACAGCCATTTGTCCGAAATGGTGTAGGGTTTCCTGCCTGAGCAGGGGGTTGGAGTAGATGACCTCCAAGGTCCCTTCCAACTTTACTACTACTACTACTACTATTACTATTATTATTATTATTATTATTATTATTATTATTATTATTATTATTGCTTTACTTTCTTTTTTCGTTTAAACATTGGAGCATCTTTAAAAAGTTTTCATTCAAAGTTTTCATTCCCACTCATTCCTGTCATTTTTAATCAGTGTTGGCCATTTTAAGATGTGTGGACTTCAACTCCCAGAATTCCCCAGCCAGAACTCCCAATTGAGGCAGGAGGGGGGAACAGTGGAATGATAATAACAGTAAGAATCCTAGAAGGGACCTTATTGGTGGATATTACCTTGATGTTGGAAGAATAGTTGATACCATCATGTTTGTAGGACATGCTTAACTGGGCATAACTAACTTTTAGTCCATTCAAAGCGAGGTCAGTTAGTTACTTTCCACACAGATCCTCTTCTCCTTCTCCATCAGTGTGATCAAATATATCCCACATGTCACAAAGCACTTTTGAAATCACCTTTATTTTTTATTTTGGCCATTGTAATTGTTAAGTCTCGTGCTGTTTTTGTAGTATTTGTATTGTTCCTTGTTTTTAAATGTTTAAGACAGTGGTTCTCAACCTGTGGGTCGGGACCCCATTTGGGGTCGAACGGCCATTTCACGGGGGTCGCCAAACAATGCAGTCCGCCATTTTTTCCCCTTTTCTTTGGCCACGCCCCTGGCACCCAGTGATGTATAAGTGGTTGGGGGTCACCACAACATGGGGAACTGTATTATGGGGTCGTGGCATTAGAAAGGTTGAGAACCACTGACTTAAAACAATTGTAAATCACCCAGAGTCCCAAGAAATCGAGCAGCATATAAATTTACATTTACAAACACACACAAACCCACACATACACACACACACAGCATTTTGCAAAAACAATTTGATTTAGCTTCCTCATCTACTGTTTTGCAGAAATAAAAGTATTGTATCAGACACTTCATAGCTCATTGCATCATCCAGGTTTTGAACGCTCACAGAGAGAGATTAGAGGGTTAGCTTTGCTACAAATAAAATATAGGTAGTCCTCAACTTATAACAGTTTGTTTAGTGACCATTCAAAGTTACAACGGCACTGAAAAATAAGACTATTTTTTTACAGTTACGACCTTTGCAGCATCCCCATGATCATGTGATCAAAATTCAGATGCTTGGCAACTGGTTCATATTTATGACGGTTGCAATGTCCCTGGGTCATGTGATCCCCTTTTGTGACCTGACAAGCAAAGTCAATGAGTGAAGCCAAATTCATTGAACAACCGATTTACTAACTTATCAACTGCAGCGGTTCACTCAACAACTGTGGCAAGAAAGGTCATAAAGTGGGGCAAAACTTACTTAACAAATGTCTCCCTTAACAATAGAAATTTTGGTTTCAGTTGTGGTCATAATTCGAGGACTACCTATGCATAACTATAATAAGGGGAATATGCAGTCCGCCTCTATGTTTATTGAGGGGATACTTTTTCGTTAGATTTACCTCAGGATCTCAAGGTGGCATACAAAATGCAACGTCTTTTTTTTTCCAGCACAACAACCTTGCAAAGTAGGTTGGGCTGAGAGAGGGTGGCCCATAATCAAACAGTGGCTTCTGGGGTTAGGGTGGATTAGAATTTGGATCATACCAGGATCAGCCCAGGCTCTTAATCATTACGCCATACACCAGCTCTCTGTGTCTTTTAACCTGCATATCATTTTAATTCCATGAGAAAAATATGTCTTAACGCAGCAATTTAAATCATGGGTTTCATTCCCAGCCCTGAAATAGTCACCCCAGAGAAGAAAAGGGAACCCCTCTCATTAATGACCAAGAAACCCCCTTGCAAAATTATGAGAAAACATTTGTCAAGGGATGGTTAAGAAAGTGATCTAGTAGATCAATCGATCAGAATAGAACTGGAAGGGAAGTCTTGTAGTCCTACCCCTTGCTCAGGCAGGAGACCCTATACAATTTGAGATAACTGGTTGTCCCATTCTTTTTTTTTTTTTTTTAAACATCCAGTGATGGAAATCGTTCCACTGATTAATTGCTCTCACCTTCAGGAAATTTCTCCTTAGTTCTAGATTATTCTCTCTTTGATTGGTTTCCATCCATTGTTTCTTCTCTTGCCTTCTGATGCTTTGGAAAATAAATTGACTCCCTCTTCTTTGTGGCAGCCCCTTAAATTCTGGAACATTGCGATCATGTTTAGTTTTTTCTCTAAACTAGCCATACCCAGTTCCTGCAACCTTCTTTTCTCTAGACTAGCCAAACCCAAATCCTGGAACTGTTCTTCATATGTTTTAGTCCCCAGGCTTTTAATCATTTTAGTTGTTCTTCTCTGCTCTTTTTCTGAAGGCTCAACATTTTTTTTTGTAGTGTGATGACCAAAACTGGATGCAGGATTCCAAGTGTGGTTTTACTAAGGTTTTATAAAGCAATGCTAGTATTTCAAGTGGTTTTGATTCTGTGCTTCTATTTATACATCTCATTTGATCAAATGATTTCATTTCTCTGTTCCTGTTTTTGTATACTCTCTTTAAAGGTCAAAGGGTTTTTACAGGACAAAGAAGCCTATTATATCCAGCAGTGTTTAGGGACTGACAATAATGAGACACAAAAACAGGAATAAAAATATTGCTCAGAGAAATCTGCAGTTTCAGTTTATTGCTAGGCTATTGCCCAAGACCACTAATAACAAAATAACAGAGTTGGAAGGGACCTTAGAGGTCTTCTAGTCCAACCCCCTGCTCAGGCAGAAAACCCTATACCATTTCAAATAAATGGTTGTCCAGTCTCTTAAAAGCCTCCAGTGTTGGAGCATCCACAACTTCTGGAGGCAAATCGTTCCAATGATTAATTGTTTTCACTGTCAGATAATTTTTCCTTAGTTCTAGGTTGCTTCTCTCCTTGACTCGTTTCCATCCAATGCTTCTTGTCCTGCTTTCAGGCACTTTGGAGAATAGCTTGGCTCCCTCTTCTTTGTAGCAATCCCTGAGATATTGGAACTGCTATCAATCACCCATAGTCCTAGTCCAGGGGTAGGCCACCTTGGCTCTTTTATGACTCATGGACTTCAACTCCCAGAATTTCTGAGTCAGCCATTCTGAGGGGAAAGGGAGAGGTTTCCAAGCTGAGCCATGCTGGCTCAGGAATTCTGGGAGTTGAAGTCCACGAGTCATAAAAGAGCCAAGGTGGCCTATCCCTGTCCTAGTCCATGTCACCCCAACACCCTTGGGAAGAGATTTCTGCATTTTCATTTCTGTTCTAATGTCAAGAAATTTCTCTGCTTCTCTCCTTGATTAGTTTCCATCCGTTGCTTCTTGTCCTGCTTTGGAGAATAGCTTGACCCCCTCTTCTTTGTAGCAGCCCTTCAAATACTGGAACCCTGTTATCATGTCCTCCCTAGTCCTTCTTTTCATTAAACTAGACATACCCAATTCCAGCAACCATTCTTCATGTCTTTTAGCCCCTCGTCATCTTTGTTGCCCTTTTCTGCACTCTTTCTAGAGTCTCAACATTTTTATGTTATGGTGACCAAACCTGGATGTGGTATTCCAGGTGTGGTCTTACCAAGGATTTATAGAATGGTATTGACAGTTCAGGTGATTTTGAATCTATCCCTCTATTAATACACTCCAGAACTATAGATCCTATAGATTCTGTAATTACAGCTAATCTTCAAGTTATGACCATAATAGAGCTTGACCATCAAGGTCATAACTTGGGATGGTAGTAAAACAGGTTGGGTTATGATTTTATGACCTTTTGTGTGGTAGTTAGGCAAATCAGTGGTTCTAAATAAATCAGTGGTTTTCTATGGCTGAAGTTTTGCTGAGAACCAGAAATAAATGCTGGTTTTTAACAAAATTGTCATAAAATATGGCTTATGTGACTGCAGGACGCTGCAAGCAGCTGTAAGTGCTTTCACATGACTGTGGGAGCGAATGTCAGAAGTTTGAATCTGGGTCATAAGTACCCCCAAAGGTAGGTCAGTCAGACTTTGAATGGTTGCTAAGCAACCAGTCATAAGTCAAGTACTACTCTCTAGTCTGGATGTGAAAAATAAAACAAAATTGTCACAATCTAATGATACAGACATGGGCATTTTTTAAAGAAATGTATAATTTGATGAGATTCTGTATATTATAGTCCCCTGCGGTGTTGCCTTGCCCAGCTACAAGGTATTTAATTCTTAAAACTAAGGTGATACTTAAGAGTTCCATAAAGTGGTTTTCTTTCCCTTCACACACACACACTTTATGGCTAATATTCCCAGCCTATATGATTTCAATTTAGAGGAGTAGCAAATGTGTGGACATAGTATGGTTCTGAATACCTCTCTTGATGTTTATAAGGCTTTCTGGTCCGTTTCCCACACATTCACACACACTTAAAATATTCTCTTTCTGGGAATTTGGTGGGTTCAATATCCTGAACCATCTGGATTAATAATATTGCTTCATTTGAGCCAGAAGGGTTCTTAAGAAAACAAGAATTAAGGATTTTCTCAGTCCAGTCTTAAAATAGGGAAAGGAGGCTAGGGCATAAATTACTAAAGTAAAATTCTTGTGGATTTTTTTGTGTTCTGTGTATTTTGTTCTTTCTTTTTTGTCTTGGACATACAGTATATTGAACAGAATACACAGGTAGCCCTCGACTTACAACAGTTCAATTAGTGACAGTTCGAAGTCACAATGGTCACTTTTTTCATGCTTATGTAGCATCTCCATGATCACAAGATTTACATTCAGATGCTTGACAGCTGACTCACATTTTTGACAGTTGCTGTGTTCCCGGAGTGGGTCAAAAATCACTTAACAAATTTCTCATTTAACAACATAAATTTTGGGGTCCGTTGTGATCATAAGTTGAGGACTACCTGCACGTGAGGGGCTGCTACATTTCTGTGTTTTTCTGACATTCATCAGTCTGTATTTTGTTAACTTGATCTTACGTTGGGGGAAAAATTGTGACAATGGTCTGATTTTTGCCTCCCACTGAATTTATTAACCAAGCTGCTTGTCTCTAAAGCTGCTTGGATCTCTGTCTGTAAAATGATTATTTTGTGATTGGCCATAACCACATGGAATTTTGTCAATTACTGATAATGCTCTCTCAGATTACGCCCTGGGATTGCCCATTCAGTCAAATTGTGAAAAAAATAAAACCCAAGTTGTGGATCTCAGTCTTAGTTTTTTAACCATTTGGAATACAAGTCTGCTAGATTTAAAAGAATGCCTTATCTTGAGGCTATAGTGCAGTGGTAGTGAACCTATGGCACGGGTGCCAGAGGCAGCACTCGGAGCCCTCTCTGTGGGCACACATGCCGCTGCCCTAGCCTTGCCTCCCCCCGCGACCCTCTCCTCACCAGCAGCCCCCCTGGAGGAAAGTTGCCCCCGAGCGTGGCCCACATGGAGCAGCGCAACCAAAGACATGGCAGCCAGGCAGCGTAGACAAGACTCTGCCCTCATACCCCATTGTGCACAGTTGATGCTGTGGGGTACGGGCAGAGGGCATGGCCACCATGGCACTGCTATGCTGCCTGGGCGATCTGCGGCGGGTCCTGGAGGCGGTGAGTTGTCCTGCGGGCAGGCGGGGTGGGGGCGGGGTGGGGCGGGGCAGTGGGTGGAGCAGGGGCGGGGCCATTTTTTGGTCACTCGGTCTCTAAAAGGTTCGCCATCACTGCTATAGTGGAAAGATTTTGCTCTTCTGTTTCAGATCTTTCCATCTTGTTTTCTCCAGGGATCTCTCATAATAGACAGAAATGCTGATTTGGGGAAAATGCAGGTAGTCCTTGACTTACGAACCACAGTTGAGCCCCATGAGACAGTTATTAAGTGAATTTTGCCCCATTTTATGATCTTTCTTGCCACAGTTGTTAAGTGCATCACTGCGGTTTATTAAGCTAGTCACACAGTTAAGTGAATCAGGCTTCCCCATTAACTTCGTTTGTCAGAAGGTTGCAAAAGGGGATTATGTGACCTGCAACCGTCACAAAGACGAGTCAGTTGCCAAGCATCCGCATTTTGATCATGTGACCATAGGAAGGCTGCAACAGTCATAAGTGTGAAAAACTGAAGTCCCTTTTTTCAGTGCTTTTGCAAATTCGAACAGTCACGAAATGAACTGTTATTAGTCGAGGACTACCTATATACCATTGAAATCCTTTCAGTCCATACAAAAGAAATGTGGTTCCAGGTATTTGTTTAACAAGCCATAAATAATTTAATTATGACTATATTGGTTTTCACCAATCGTTATGTTTAGCATGGACATTCCTAACATCTTGGAGGTGTTCCTTTTTTTCTTTTTTGTTTAGCCACCAGCTAAATATCTCTTGCCAGAAATGACAATATCTGATTACGGGAAGAAATGCGTGGTCATTGATCTTGATGAAACATTAGTGCATAGCTCCTTTAAGGTACGTATGCTGTTCAATATTTCTTTTAGCTTTTTGATAAGCACATAGAAGAACACAGGCATATCTTCTCATTAAATGTCCTTTCTGGATCCTAAAATGTCTTTGCTGTTATGGTAACCTCATTCATGGATGGCCATGATATTTAGTAGTTTATAGCTATATATATCCCTAAGATCACTTCAAAACATGTTGCTTTCCATTAATCAAATGAAACAAACGTTAACTAAGAATCCAGGCAATATGTGTGCATGTGTTAATTCCCGAGGAGGGCAGCAGTAACAGCTTTTGTTATGTGGAAAATTTGGATGTAGTTGTTGTTGTTAGTTGCGAAGTTGTGTCCGACCCATCGCGACCCCATGGGCAATGTTCCTCCAGGCCTTCCTATCCTCTACCATCTTCTGGAGTCCATTTAAGCTCACGTCTCCTGCTTCAGTGACTCCATCCAGCAACCTCATTCTCTGTTGTCCCATTCTTCTGTTGCCCTATATCTTTCCCAGCATCAGGCTCTTCTCCAGTGAGTCCTTGGATGTAGTACTTCATTCTATATAAAATATTACATGTATTTATTTCCTTATTTCCTAAAACATTTAATTACTGCCAGTTACAATTCTTATTGAAAAAATACTTTTCTTGAATTAATTTCTTTGTAATAGTGTAATATAACGTATGAATCTGATCAAGCAACAGTTGAGACAGAATTTAAATAAGTAAGAAAATAAATTTATTATATGGGATTAAATTAACTACAAATAGTTCTTGCCTATCAACAGTAATTGGGGTCAGAAATTCTGTCACTGTGAGGTGGTTGTAAAGTGCAATAGTTTTGTTAGGCAAATCCCACATGGTTATATCATCACAATCACTTAATTGCCATGACATTTGCAACTTCCTTCCCCATTGATTTTGTTTGTCAGAAGCTGGCAACGAAGGTCCGCAAATGGCAGTCACATGACCACATGACACAGCATTGTCGTAATTGTGCACCAGTTGCTAAGCATCTGAATTGCAATCATGTGACCTCGAGAACTACGACGGCCACAACTATGAGGACTGGTTGTCCTCATAGAGAAGAGAAGAGCAACAAAGATGATTGGGGGACTGGAAACTAAAACAAATGAAGAACATTTGCTGGAACTAGGTATAACTAGTCTAGTGAAGAGAAGGACCAGGGGTGACATGATAGCAGTCTTCCAATATTTGAGGGGATGCCACAAAGAAGAGGGGGGGGGTCAACCTATCTTCCAAAGCACCTGAAGGCAGGACAAGAAGCAATGGATGGAAACTAATCAAGGGGAAAAGCAACCTAGATATAAAGAGAAACTTCCTGACAGTGAGAACAATTAACCAGTGGAACAGTTTGCCTCCAGAAATTGTGGGTGCTCCATCACTGGAGGTTTCCAAGAAGAGATTGGGCAGCCACTGTTCTCAAATTGTATAGGGCAGGGATAGGCCACCTTGGCCCTTTTATGACTTGTGGACTTCAACTCCCAGAATTCCTGAGCCAGCATGGCTCAGCTTGGAAATCTCTCTATTTCTCCTCAGCATGGCTGGCTCAGGAATTCTGGGAATTGAAGTCCATAAAAGAGCCAAGGTGGCCTACCCCTAGTATAGGATCTCCTGCCTGAACAGAGAGTTGGACTACTAGAAAATGTGTAAACTCCCTTTCAACTCTGATATTCTATTATTATGTTAAGTCCCCCCTCATTCAATGCTGTTATAACTTTGAATGATCTCTAAATAAATGGATGTCAAACAAGGACTATATCTGTATTGCAGGATAATAAGTGGCCAAAATGCCACAAAGTTGTATATCATGGCTTATAAGCACATGAAAAACATTATGCCCCCACCCTTTAAATTTTCTGAATGTTTGCAAGTCTTTGGTAATGAGTATCATCACAGCTTCATGTATGTCCTACCGATAACATAATGGGAATCTTCATTTATAATAGATTAATCAAATGCCAGATATTTATTTTGGAAACAAAATCATCTAACTTATAATGTTCCAGTGTGAAAAAGGAATTGCTCCTCAATTCAGTTAAAGACATTACAGGTAATCCTCAGCTTACGACCACAATGGAGCCCCAGATTTCTGTTGCTAAGTGAGACATTTGTTAAGTGTCCCGTTTTACGACCTTTCTTGCCACTGTTTTTAGTGAATCACTGCAGTTGTTAAGTTAGTAACACGGCTGTTAAGTGCATCAGGCTTCCCTATTGACTTTGCTTGTCAGGAGCTTGCAAAAGGGGATTACATGATCCCCAGATTTTGCGACCGTCATAAGTATGAACCAGCAGCCAAGTGTCTGAATTTTGATCCTATGACTGGGGGGGGGGGTGCTACAATGGTCATAAGTGTAAAAAATGGACATAAGTCACTTTTTTTAGAGCCATTATAACTTTGAGCAGTCACTAAACAAACAGTTGTAAGAGAACTACCTGTATTAGGATAGGTCTGGCTCTCAATTTGGAAAAGTACAAAGCTTTCTAGTGAAGCTTTTAGGCAGGAGTCTTCAAACGTGGCAACTTTAAGACTTGTGGACTTCAACTCCCAGAATTCCTCGGCCAGTCAGGGCTGGCTGAGGAATTTTGGGAGTTGAAGTCCATAAGTCTTAAAATTGCCAAGTTTGAAGACCTTTGATCCAGATAGTCCTCGACTTTACACAGTTCATTTAGTGACTGTTCAGAGTTACAATGACACTCAAAAAGTGGCCTAGGACCGCTTTTCATAGTTACAACCTTTGCAGCATCATGTGATCAAAATTCAGATGCTCGGCAAATTAGTTCATTCATGCAGTGTCCCGGGGGGATCACGTGATCCCCTTTTGCGACCTTTGGACAAGCGATGTCAATGGGGAAGCCGGATTCACTAACAACTGGGTTACTATCAACTGCAGTGATTCATTTAACTGGGGCAAGAAATGGGGGCAAAACTCAAAAAAAAATGTTTCACTCAACAACTGAAATTTTGGGCTCAATTGTGGTTGTAAGTTGAGGACTACCTGTAATATGATCTTCTAGGAGGCCTCAAGCCTGATCAGATATAATTGCATCTCATGTTCCATTTAATCAAATCATTAGCATCTACTTTTTACTTAAAGTCTTCTTTGAGGTGAACTCACTTCTGGGTATTTTATGCAATCAGAATAGAGCTGGAAGGGACCTTGGAGGTCTTCTAGTCCAACCCTATGCTCAAGCAGCAGACCCTAGAGCTAGACCAGTGGTTCTCAACCTGTGGGTCACGACCTCATTTGGGGTCGAACGACCATTTCACGGGGGTTGCCAAACAAGGCTGTCCCCCATTTTTTCCCCCTTTTCTTTAGCTGTGCTACTCCCTCTTATTCTATTGGCTTTTGAAAGCCAATAGAATAGACTCTATTCAAGAATAGAATAGACTCTATTCAAGAATCTATTGGCTTTCAAAAGCCAATAGAATAGACTCTGTTGAATAGAGTCTAATTCTATTGGCTTTCAAAAGCCGATAGGAATTGTCCAGGCTGTCTCTGCCCTGCTGAGACCGGCAAAAGCCCCAGTCTGCAAACGATGCTGCAACAAAAGCTTCCCTCCCTGCTGAGCAACTACTAAAAGTAAGTAAAAGAGGGCCAGGGGTGGGAAGTGGGAGGCCAGGGAGTGCAGGGAGGGTTTCTGGCGTGCGTGGGGCCTGGCAGGTGCCTTACATGCCTTGGGCTGGGCCAGCTGGTGGCCCAGCCGGTGGTCGCCCTTCGCCGTCGCTGCTGCTTGCCGTGGCCGCCCAGGAGCGCCTGGGCCTGCCTGCCGCCACCCCGAACGGTTCCAGGTTGCCTCTCTCCTTGATTAGTTTCCATCCGTTGTTTCTTATCCTACCTTCAGGTGCTTTGGAGAATATGTTGACCCCCCTCCTCCTTGTGGCAGCCCCTCAAATACTATCATGTTCCCCCAGTCCTTCTTTTCACTAGACTAGCTAAACCCAAGTCCTGCAACCATTCTTCATATGTTTTAGTCTCCTGGCCTTTAATCATCTTAGTTGCTCTTCTTTGCACTTTTTCCAAACTCCTGTGGCTTTCTTGGAAACAATATAGAAATGGTTTGCCATTGTCTCCTTCCATTTTTTTTTAAGCTCCCCAGTCTAGCCTGCAGCCTGGAACCCCTTCGAAATCTCTCATTCCAGTTCCGATCAAACCCTGCATATTTTTTGAGCAATGCCAGCCTAGTAATGCAATCTGGTAGGAGGTCTTGATAATACATATATTAACTAAAGAGACGATATTGCAGCCTCCCCTAGTCACATGATCCTCATTTAATGACCTGCATGGTCCTCACCTAACAATAGCAACTAAGTTTAAAGTTTTAAATTTCAGGACATGAAATTGACTTTAAAAGGACCAGAACTATCGCCAAAACTGAACACTTTAATAACAGAATAATCAGAGAAGCCATCGAGATAGAAAAATGCCCACACAGCATGAATAAATGAGATGATACCTCCCGCTTACCAGCCATTTGGAAACCCGCCCTTATTGACAAACGAGTCCCTAAGACAAAGAATGACACCAGACCCACACTCACGAAAACCACACAGGATGTCACCACCACACATCCACGCAAAAAGAAAAACCCAAAGCCACACCGATGATGAGGCATGACCACAAACCAGAAGCCAGACCACAGCTGCATCATTAGCCACTTTAAACCCCTCCATACATGAAGCAAACTGACACCCACCATGAAGATGAGGCACGACCACGAACGCGAAGCCAAAAAATAGCAATGCAGCTCACCATTTTAAATCCCCCTGCAACTCAGACTAACCTGAGCACAACAAAGCCCCCGCCCAAACAGAACACTCCCCTATCCAATCAGAGCACAGCCAACCCCCCATCCAATCAGAGCACAGCCAAGCCCCTAACCAATCAGAACACACCTCCACCCAATCAGAACACAGCCAAGCTCCCACCCAATCAGTTCATACCCCCACTGGCAGTTAAAAGAAAGCAACAGCTACGATCACACATTGCTCCTAGAAGCACGAAGCTGAAAACACCAGCCTGAAGATGACAATTGGGACTTCGTCGAAACGTCGCCAAGACACTTCCAATTTTACACTGTTTAGCTATCCAAAGGGTTTTGCGGCTCCCAGTGTTTTGTTTTCGATGGGAAACAGGTCCAAGTGGCTCTTTGAGTGTTTTGGGTTGCCTACCCCTGGTCTGGGTAACGCACCCCAAGCAAGACTGTTTTGAAACAGCTTTAAAGCCTAGTCTTCCATAGAGCTGGCTATGGAATTTTGGGCCAATCAGCAGGAGACGGTGAGTTCTAGTCCTGCCTTAGGCATGAAAGCCAGAATATATTTAAGTAAGTAATATGTGTATTTTAGATATTATAACTCCTGTGCAGTGAAATAAAGGAAATTTGGGTTACCAGAAATTTAAATAGTATGGATATTAAAGGTTAAATTGGAATATTGTAATTAAAAATTAAAAATTAGGTAAAACTTAAAAACAGGATATGGATATGTATAAGCAAAGATAGATTGTTAAATGTTTTAACTGAGCTTGTCATGGTTAGAAATTTACTAGCTTAAATATGATATATTAAATGTTAAGGGAAATAGAGAAGGAATTTTTGATAATGCAGCCTGAGATGTGTACTAAAGACTTTGTTATTGAACTATTGACTACACAGTCACCACTCTGCTTTCCAAGCACTTAAATGTAAAACTGGAAAACCAATAAAATGTGTTATATACGAAAAAGGCAGGATACTACTAAATAAGTTAGAAACATTTCTTCAGATTTTGGATAGTGAAACAACAGGTCTGTGGGTAAAACCAATAAGAGAGCAGGGAATACTTTAGGTTTTCTTTTCTTCCACTTCCTAAGTTCTTACTTCTTAAGATAAGGAAAAATTTGAAAATGACATTCTTCTATTGAAGTGATGGCGAATCTTTTAGAGACGGAGTGCCCAAAACCCAACTCAAAACCCACTTATTTATCGCAAAGTGCCAGGGCCGCATCAACATTGTGGTGCCCTCAGGGGGGGGCATGGGGGCATGGCCCACGGAGTGGGCGTGGCCCACTAAGTGGGTGTGGCTGTGGTTGTCACGGCAAACTGGGTGGGCGTGACTGGGCTGGGCATGGCCACCTCGATGTTGCTCATAAGGGGGATGCCTGTGGGGGCCAGGCAGGGTTCGGGGAGATCCATGGAGTCTCTGGCAGATGGGGTGGTGGGCAGAAGATCCAGCATAGATGGGGGGAGGCACACAATCCTAGCTGGGACTGGGGGGCCATGGCGCCGATGGGGATCCGGCTTTCCCTGCTCAGGGTGGCCTTTGGCTTGCTGGGCGTTGGCCTGCTCTACCACTTCTACTTGAGCTTGCTAGCTGGCCACTTTGCCTCCTTTATGCTGGGTGGGGCTGCTGCTCCAGGCAGAGGCGGCCTAATGAACCTGCGCAAGCTGCTGGCAGCAGCGGCGCGCGTGCCCACAGAGGGGGCTCTGAGTGCCGCCTCTGGCACGCATGCCATAATTCACCACCACTGTCCTATTGTACTCTCAAATGTGTTGTGAACCATTCTTACTGCAGTTTGGTTCTATGCAAATACAGATAGTCCTTGACTTAAACCAGTTCGTTTAGTGACTCTTCTAAGTTACAAAGGCATTGAAAAATGTGACTTTTGACCGTTTTTCACATGTACAACCATTGCAGCATCCCCCTGGTCACGAGATACAAATTCAGACGCTTGGCAATTGGCTCATATTTATGACGGTCGCAGTGTCCCGGATATCATGTGATCCCCTTTTGCGACCTTCTGACAAGCAAAGTGAATGGGGGAGACCTGATTCACTTAACAACCGTGTGACTAACTTAGCAGCTGCAGTGATTCACTTAACAACTGTGTCAAGAAAATTCGCAAAAATGGAGCAGAACTCACTTAACAACTGTCTCGCTTAGCAACAGAAATATTGGGCTCAGTTGTGGTTGTAAGTCGAGGACTACTTGTACCAGCCTGGGAAATAAAGAAAAGACATTAACCATTAGCTCCTGTTGAACTGAAGGCTGGAGTCTTTCTCTTAATTCCATGATTTCTTATAGCAAAGATTCTGTTAGGAGTGTAACAGTTATGGGATATGCCTTTCTTCAGTTTATTCAGAGAAAGGGGGGAAAAAATTCCCTTCTGCTTGAGGGAAGATACAGCCTGCTCCAGCTTTTAATAACACCTTCTTTACTGTTTTTTTTTTTAAAAAAAGAGCATTTTGCTTAGGTATTATGACTATATTATAGAAATCTGCCAAATTCATCTTACCAAAATATTGGAATACATCTCCAAAATATGAACAGGATAATCCCAAACTCTTTGGTAAGTGTAAAAGGAGCTATCTCTGCCAGTCGTTAACCTGAAGTATGCAGATTAATACCTTGTGGGCCGTGTTATGATTTTGGTAAGTTTCTCTAGTGCAGGGGTAGGCAACCTTGTCTCTTTTATGACTCGTGGACCTCAACTCCCAGAATTCCTGAGCCAGCATGGCTCAGCTTGGAAACTCTCTCTTTCCCCTCAGCATGGCTGGCTCAGGAATTCTGGGAGTTGAAGTCCACGAGTCATAAAAGAACCAAGGTGGCCTAGCCCTGCTCTAGTCTAGACTCTGCAGACTAGAAATCATTCTTTTTTAAAGATCATTTTGTTTTCATTTTTCTAGCCAATTAGCAATGCTGATTTCATTGTTCCAGTTGAAATTGATGGAACTATACATCAGGTAAGAAGTACTATTTGCATTTTTATATGGGGTTGGTGAATTGCTTTGCGCCTGTCTAGAAATTGCCTAGGTTAGCTTGGCAAAGAATGAAGTTTTGGAGTTGACAGACAAGTTAAAATGAGTAAGTTTTCGGGATGGCAAGAGTTTCACCTTGAAAGCTATTTCAGTTCAAATGGCTGAACTGTCAGTAGAATTGTAAAAGGGGTGGCTTAAACCAGTAACAGTGATTGTTTCAACTCAAAAGGATATTTTGCTGCCTCATCTTGTTGTCATAATCTTATTCAGATGAGGGTATATAAAACTATGATAAACTCTGAATAGTTGTACATGATTTTAGTAAGCGATGATGTTTTGCATTTAATTCTCTTTTTCTAAAGGACAGCATTCTTGGTATGTCTTTCCAGGATAGGCTATGACCGGGTTCAAGTAATCCAGGATAGGCTGTGTGCATTCTTAGTGGCCTATCCTTGAGTACTTGCACTGGGATGTAGCCACAATGCAATAAAGAAGATGCTGGGAAGTCCAAGTCTACATGTCTTCTTCTCACTTTTCCAAAAAAGAAGGCCTGCAGCTAAAGATCTCAAGAGTGGAGTGGGATGGGATGGGATAGAATAGAATAGAACAGAACAGAACAGAACAGAATAGAACAGGGATAGGCAACCTGGGCTCTTTTATGACTTGAGGACTTCAACTCCCAGAATTCCATGCTGAGGGAAAAGGGAGAGGTTTCCAAGCTGAGCCATGCTGGCTCAGGAATTCTGGGAGTTGAAGTCCACAAGTCATAAAAGAGCCAAGGTTGAGGACCCCTGATATAGAATATAGAGAATGGGATGGGATAGAATAGAATAGAATAGAATAGAATAGAATAGAATAGAATAGAATAGAATAGAATAGAATAGAATAGAATAGAAGCTGGAAGGGATCTTGGAGGTCTTCTAGTCCAGCCCCCTGCTCAAGCAGGAGAACCTATACCATCTGAGACAACTGACTGTCTAGCTTCTTCTTAAAAATCTCCAGTGATGTAGCGCCCACAATTTCTGGGGGCAAGCTGTTCCACTGGTTAATTGTCCTCACAGTTAGGAAGTTTCTCCTTAATTCCAGGTTGCTTCTCTCCTTGATCAGTTTCCAACCGTTGTTTCTTGTCCTTCCCTCTGGTGCTTTGGAGAATAATGTGACCCCCTCTTCCTTGTGGCAGCCCCTCAAATACTGGAATACTGATATCATGTCACCCCTGTTTCTTCCTTTCTTTAGACTAGCCAAACCCAAGTCCTGCAGAGTAGATTACCTCCAATTCAGAAAGTCAATTAAACACATCCAAAACTAAACTACGGGTTGACACAATACCTATAATGTTTGTCTCTCTCTTCTGTTGTGCCTCTGTCTTAAGTCAGAACAGGTAGTCCTTGACTTACAGGCATTTGTTTAGTGACCGTTTGAAGTTATAACAGCACTGAAAGATGTGACATATGACCTTTTTCATACTTAGAAGACTGTTGCAGCGTCCCCACAGTTACCTGATCAAAATTCAGGCACTTCACAACTGATGTGTTTAGGATAGCTGCAGCGTCCCAGGTTCATGTGATCACCATTTGTAATCTTCCCAACCAGCTTCCAACAGGCGAACTCAATGTGGGAAGCTGAATGTGCTAAATGACATAGGATTCAGCTTAACAACTGTTCCCAAAAAAGTAGGAACAAAATGGGGCAAAAGTCACTTAACAACTGCGTTGCTTAATAACAAAAATTTTGGGCTCAATTGAGATTGTAAGTTGAGGACTTCCTGTATTTATTTCCATATTCAATAATTATGTAAGAGGAATAACATTTCTTGAGTTAGCACGGATACGTTTTATTGCATTAACTGTAATTATTTGCTGAAGTATTTTAGCTACACTCCTAACAATAGCTTTAATAGTAAAAGCTATGAAAATCCATTCACAGATCTGGGATTTTGCTATTTTGAAAATGAAACAAAATGAAATAGGAGTTCCTTTTCACTTTCAGAACAAAATCTTCCTCTTTTGGGAGGCTGGAAAAAGAGAGCATTGAACCCATTCATTCCCTTTGCAGAGGAATAAAATTTCTTTGAGTTAGTGGATTAATAATTCTTTAATTTTAAAATTACGTCCTTTTAAGTTTATACTTGTCTTGCCTGAAGCATCTCGCTGATTCATACAGGAACAAAACCCACTAGCTAGATAAGGATCCAGCGGGACTTCACTTTGCCTCCCGTATTTATCGAAATATAAATTGATCCTCCAGGATCATGAACTTCAGCTGTCTCTGCGCATTCTTGAACCTCAGTGGCTGCCTTCTTTCTTTACCTTCAGGTTTATGTATTAAAACGGCCGCACGTGGACAAATTTCTTCAGAGAATGGGAGACCTCTATGAATGTGTGCTATTCACAGCCAGCCTAGCAAAAGTAAGTCGTGTCTCTTATTCTCACAATCTTATCAATTGGCGTGCCTCTTATTCTCACAATTTTGCTTCATTTCAGGACTACAAAGTTGGACACAGCACCCTCAGTAGGATTAATTTTGTAATATTGGCCTAGCTGAAAGGTAGGCAATCTTGGCTCTTTTATCACTCATGGACTTCAACTCCCAGAATTCCTGAGCCAGCCTGGCTCAGCTTGGAAACTCTTCTTTTCCCCTCAGCATGGCTGGCTTAGGAATTCTGGGAGTTGAAGTCCATGAGTCATAAAAGAGCCAAGGTTGCCTAGCCCTGGTCCAACATTTCTGAAGAAACGGGCATTTGGTGAACATTTAACAATTCAGTTTTCTTCCTTTATCCAAATCTACAAGGAAAGTTGGGTCTGTGTTTTTTTTGTGGTTTTTTTTTTTTTTGGCATGTCATATCAAATAAGGAGAAAATAATTATCTTCATCTTCATTTCCCTCCCACCCCTTTTTTTCTTCTGCTTTCTTTATCTGGCAACGTGTACTTTTGTCTGCTAATGTGTGGGTAAGTGTTTCCATGGTAACAGTATCACATATGGGCTCGTCTCACGTAGCCTTCCTGGATTGCTCCTGATGCCCAATATGGGAGTCTTTTTTTAGTTACCATGGTTATGTGAGGGTAGAGAGAAAAATAGCTTATTATATAATGTACTATCCTAAAACTGGGACAAATTAAGCAGATCCGCTGCATGGTTGGGTCAATTTGTGGGCAATTATTAGTATTCAAGCAGGTCAAAACGTACACAGCAAACTCCCCCCCAGAATAATAATAATAATGCAAATTCTGCTGACTTTATCTGTGTTTGTGGACTTGGGATGTTCCTAACCCGGAAAGAAGGGAACCAATACTTCATTGTACCCTTGAATTAGAAGTCGTAGTGCTTATAGTGAACTGCACCATAAATGTTTGATCTTGTGGTCTTTCCAGTGTTGTCTCCACCTCTGATAGCAGTAAAGATCAATCTGCTTTTGTAGAGGATAGGATCATTATTGTGCAAGCTTGATGGCAGTGGAGAAATTGGGAAGGTTCGGGGTGTGTCTGTATTAACCAGTGGAATAGAATATTCTCACAAATAAGTTGACCAGTGGCTCTTGTTTGCAAGAGAGGCTTCCGTGCAAGGCTGCTTCGTCAAAATTATTCCTATTCTGGATAAAAAAAAATACAAGCAAAGCTATACCTGTATCCATTTGCATAATAAGTCAACAGCTAGGCAAAGCACCTGTGCAGGCATCCAGAGATCACTTTCTGAACAGCTGCAAGAAACTTTGCAGAATGCCTTTTTTACAAATCTCTTGTCTAGATATGATATCAGTGTGTTCAATTCACACCAGGAGTGTTGCGGGCAGAGAACCCGGGTTCAAGTATTTCAAGCAGCAACAAAACCCCAAGCTTTGGCATTAAAGCAGCTTTAATATTCTTCCAAAAGGTTCAGCAGGCTTCCTTTTCTAGTTCTTCAGAAGGAAGACTAAAAAAAATCAAGACAAGTTCATTAGCCTGGCTGTCAAAAAATAACCAGGCTTGCAGACACTTTATAATCAATTCAATAATCCTTGGCTCTCAGCAATTGTATTTTTCAAAAGTATCTAGAACAGTGGTTTTCAACCTTTTTAATGCTGCGGCCCCCAACCGGTCGTAAGTCAAGGACTACTCAACTGGTGCAGCACCGTTTGCAGAATGGGACTTTTGGTGGGCTCAGCAGGGCAGAGGCAGCTTGGACAATTCCTATTGGCTTTTGAAAGCCAATAGAATTAGACTCTATTCAAGAGAGTCTATTCTATTGGCTTTCAAAAGCCAATAGAATAAAAGGGAGTAGCACAGCCAAGGAAAAGGGGAAAAAAATGGCGGACTGCGTTGTTTGGCGACCCCTGTGAAATGGTCGTTCGACCCCAAATGGGGTCCCGACCCACAGGTTGAGAACCACTGATCTAGAAGTAACTTTCGTGCTCAAAGAACACTAAATAACTCTGATCAAACATTTTATCTGAGAAGGTTTGTGAGATACAGTGAGATGCCTTATGCAGAAGTCAACTGCTTTGTTAACTTAGTTGTTTTCTTGTTCTAAAGCAGGGGGTCTTCAAACTTGGCCCTTTGATGACTTGTGGACTTCAACTCCCAGAATTCCTCAGCCAGTGTGCCTGGGAGTTGAAGTCCACAAGTCATAAAAGGGCCAAGTTTGGAGACCCCTGTTCTAAAGCCAGAGGAAGTCTTTCCTTATCAATTGACAGTTCTGCTGATTAAACACTGAATCTCCTGATGCCCAGTCCTAGCCGTACCACATGTTGTCCTTCAGAAAAAAAATATTGTGGAAAATTTTCCTAATCCTATATCTCTTGAAAAACTATAGGCCTGCTTATTCTGTTTAATAATTTACACAGGTAGTCCTTGACTTACAAGTGTTCATTTAACAACTGTTCAGAGTTATAGTGGCACTAAAAAAAAAAAAGTGACTTAGGGAGCATCCCAACAGTCACTTGATAAAAATTTGGGTGCTTGGCAACCAGCATTTATTTAGGATACTTGTAATATTCTGGATTCCTCTGATCGCCATTTGCAATTTTCCCAGCTGGCTTCTGACAAAAATAAAGATCAATGGCGAAGAGAAGCTTGATTCTCTTAATGGCCACGTGATTCACTTAACAAGTGCAATGGTTCACTTAACAGTCGTGGCACAAAAGGTCATAAAATTGAGCATGGATTCATTTAACAACCATTTTGCTTAGCTACGGAAATTCTGGTCATACGTCAAGGACTACCTGTATCTATAGTCAACAACAGCTGTTAGTAGAAAGCCAATCTTTTATATTTTAAATCTCTTTCATAATCAAATGTGCAGCTTATGGAGCTGGCCCTGCATAATAAACCTTAAATCAGGGGTTCCCAACTGGGGGTGCGAGACGATATTCCAGGGGGTGCGAAAACCTGGGTTTTCAAAATTATAGTGTATATACATAATTCATGGCCATTATTTTGAACTTTTGTAAGGGGTGTGAGAATATATCAGAAGCGTTTTAGGGGTGCAGGGTATAGAAAAGGTTGGGAGCCATTGCCTTAAATATATTATCGACACAGAGATTTTAATGATATGGCTTCGTGCTAACAGTCCACAATTTTGCTGTTTGCAGTCCTCTGAAACTCTTCATTTTACTCTGAATCATAAAACTCTTCTTAAACAGCCAAAAGTTTATGGCAGAAATTGAGATTACTTAATCCTCAATTTATTGGAGTCTCTTTTAGCACTTAGTCTCAGGGAGAGCTCTTACCCTAAGCTCGAACCATTTCCACCAGACAAAAAAGAACCATTTAAGCCAATGTCTGCAAGCATTTTTTATTTCTAGAAGTCTTATAATACATCCTAGGATAGCACTTAGCCACGTTGTCATCATGATTTTATCTTTATTTCTCCTCTTTGTTGGGGCTTATTTAGTATTTGTATTAAAAGTACATTTAGTATTCATAGGGAGAGAAATATTCTCCATTTCTTAACCGTAACCCCTTCTCTTTTATAAAAAAAATATATACAAAGTATGCAGATCCGGTGGCAGATTTGTTGGATCGTTGGGGTGTGTTTAAGGCTCGACTCTTCCGGGAATCCTGTGTTTTCCACAGAGGAAATTATGTGAAAGATCTTAGCCGGCTTGGACGAGAATTGAGCAAAGTCATCATTGTAGACAATTCTCCTGCATCTTACATCTTCCACCCTGAAAATGCAGTAAGTAGCTTTGCTCTCAATTTTGTTGTTGTTCATTTGCTAAGTTGTGTTCGAGTCTTTGCAACCCCACGGACCATAGCATGCCAAGCCATCCTGTTCTCCACTGTCTTCACATTAACCTGTGAAGCGTTAGTACCACTTTACAATGCCTTGGTAAGGCCACACCTGGAATACTGCATCCCGTTTTGGTCACCATGATGTGAAAAAGATGTTGAGACTCTAGAAAGAATATAGAGAAGAGCAACAAAGATGATTAGGGGACTGGAGGCTAAAACATATAAGGAATGGTTGCTGGAATTGGGTATGTCTAGTTTAATGAAGAGAAGGACGAGGGGGGACATGATAGCAGTCTTTCAATATCTCAGGGGCTGCCCCAAAGAAGAGGGAGTCAAGCTATTCTCCAAAGCCCCTGAAGGCAGGACAAGAAGCAACGGATGGAAACTAATCAAGGAGAGAAGCAACCTAGAACTAAGGAGAAACTTCCTGACAGTTAGAACAATGAACCAGTGGAACAACCTGCCTCCAGAAGTGGTGAATGCTCCAACACTGGAAGTTTTTAAAAACAGATTGGACAACCATTTGTCTGAAATGGTATGGGGTCTCCTGCCTGAGCAGGGGGTTGGACTAGAAGACCTCCAAGGTCCCTTCCAACTCTGCTATCCTGTTATTCTGTCTCCTGGAGTTTTCCCAGATTTGTATTCCTTGTGTCGATGACACTATTTAACTGTCTCATCCTTTGCCATCCCCTTCTCCTTCTACCTTCCATCTTTCCCAACATCAGGGTCTTCTCCGAGGAGTCCCCACTTCTCATTTGGTGGCCAAACTATTTGGGCTTCAGCTTCAGGATCTGTCCTTCCAAAAGACAGTCAGGGTTGATTTCCTTTAGGATTGGCAGATTGGATTTCCTTGCACTCCAAGAGACTCTCGAGAGTCTTCTTCAACTGTGATTGCAATATATGGAAGTATTTTTGCCCTTGGACTTGTCTAGAGAGATATTTGTTGACTTTTTTATTTATTTATTCTTTTTTTTTTTTTTAAAGAGGGAATAGGCTTCAGTGTGATAGTTTAGTAAGAAATTTGGGAACCTGCCATTAGGGAATTATCAGTCTCTGTTCATTTACCAAAGAAACCATGAATTAAATTAAATTAAATTAAATTAAATTCATGAATTAAAGAAGAGAGCCTTCTGTGCTGTTGCCTCCACCCTGTGGAACAGGGGTAGTCAACCTTGGCTCTTTTATGACTCGTGGACTTCAACTCCCAGAATTCCTGAGCCAGCTAAGCTGGCTCAGGAATTCTGGGAGTTGAAGTCCACGAGTCATAAAAGAGCCAAGGTTGACTACCCCTGCGTGGAACATTCTCCCACTGGAGGTTAGATGAAGCCCCATTCTCCAGGCCTTCTGGAAAGCTGTAAAAACATGGCTTGGCTACCTTGTTAGGGGCCTGCAGGCGAGCACACGGCTCTAGGCCTGGCTATCGCCCTGAAAGTCCCCTTCCTTTTTAATTAACACATTTATTTTTAATTTATCCCTTCCTTTTTAAATTTTGTACACTCTTTTTATATTCTAGTATTTTATTTGTACGCCGCACAGAGTCCTTCTGTGATAGAGAGGGGTGGTTTCAAAGTTTAATAAAATAAAGCCTCAAGTGCCAAATTATGCATGAGAAAATCCAGTGTGGCTTGGTAGAGTCCCACCCTGAAAGAGGAAGCTCTCTAGAAAAGGACAAAAATAAGATAATTAATGATGTTACCTAGTTGGATAATGAAACCTCTGCAAGCAAACAATCCAACTGAGCGAGATGGCCAGTTTCGTCTGTGGTTAAGGCATCAGGTTACAAAGCAGAAGATGGCGAGTTCTAGTTCTGCTATCAGCATGAAAGTTGGCTAGGTAACTGGGCCAATCACCAGGAGAATCTGAGTTTTAGTTCCGCCTCAGACACGAAAGCCAGGTGAATGACGGGACCAATCACCAGGAGAATCTGAGTTTTAGTCCCGCCTCAGACACGAAAGCCAGGTGAATGACGGGGCCAATCACCAGGAGAATCTGAGTTTTAGTCCCGCCTTAGGCATGAAAGCCAGCTGGGTGATTGTGGGCCAGGTCCTCTCTCTCAGCCCAACCCACCTTTTTAATAATAATAATAAAGTTAGAAGGGACCTTGGAGGTCATCAAGTCCAACCCCCTGCTCAGGCAGGAAACCCTATACCATTTCAGACAAATGGCTGTCCAGTCTCTTCTTAAAAAGTTCCAGTGTTGGAGCATTCACCGCTTCTGGAGGCAGGTTGTTCCTCTGGTTAATTGTTCTAACTGTCAGGAAGTTTCTCCTTAGTTCTAGGTTGCTTCTCTCCTTGGTTAGTTTCACAGGGTGGTTTTTGTGATAAAACTGGGAGGAAGAAGATGTACTGGATATGTGTGCCACCTTGAGTTATTTGTAAAAATAATAAAGATGGGATAGAAATAAATGAATAAAATACAAAGCGATCTACTTGAATAAATGCAAATGGACCCCTTGACTTTGCCTGGAACTTCATGACTGGAGCTACTGTGTGTGAGAGACTTTCTGCTTGCCTTCTTATACATTTTGTCCTTGACATACAACCACAATTGAGTCTAGGTTTTCTACTGTTAAACAGTTGTTAAGTGAGTTTTACCCATTTTTATCACCTTTCTTGCCATAGGCGTTCAGTGAACTACTGCAGTTGTTAAGTTAGTAGCACGGTTGTTAAGTGAATCTGGCTTTCCTCGTTGACTCTGCTTTTCATAAGGTCACAAAAGGGGGTCCCATGACCCCAGGACCTTGTAGCTGCCATAAATAGGAGCCAGTTGCCAAGCGCTTGAATTTTAACCACGGGGATGCTGCAACGGTCGTAAGTGCAAAAAACAAGTCATAAGTCACTTTTTTTCAGTGCGGTTGTAACTCCCAACAGCCACTAAATGAATGGCTGTAAGTCCAGGACTCCCCATACCATGTTCAGATGGGCTTGTGTCAGTCAATCAGTCTTTTCCTAGGGCAGGGGTAGGCCACCTTGCCTCTTTTATGACTCATGGACTTCAACTCCCAGAATTCCTGAGCCAGCCATGCTGAGGGGAAAGGGAGAGGTTTCCAAGCTGAGCCATGCTGGCTCAGGAATTCTGGGAGTTGAAGTCCACGAGTCATAAAAGAGCCAAGGTTGCCTATCCCCAGCATATGGAGTTCCTCGAAGGTCCAAGTAACCTACAATTGCAGGATCGTTATTTTATGAATAATAATATTAGATATTGGAGTTGTTTCTTTTGTTTCTTTCTTTCAGGTGCCTGTTCAGTCCTGGTTTGATGACATGACAGACACAGAATTGTTAGACCTTATTCCTTTCTTCGAAGGATTGAGTCAAGAGGAGGAAGTCTACACAATGCTCCATAAGCTGTGCAACAGGTAGCCTTTTGAACGCCAGTCCTTGTTGCTTTACCGCAACCCGCTGAAGCATCTCACAGAGGCTGCTCTGGATGTTTCTGATCTTCCTCTGCCAGGAAAGATAATCCTGACTCAGTGGTTCTAAATCATGGGACTGACTCTAAGGTGACCAGAACTACTTTTTAAAACAAAAAAATCAAGAAAGAGAAGATAAAGAAATAGAAGCTATTTTGAATGGGGCTTTTAACGCATTTCATAAACAGACGCGTTTTACAGATTCTGCTTTTTTTCTTAAAACATGCCAAAAAAAAAGAATAAAAAAAAAAAAGAAAGCTTGGTATTAACTTCAAACAGTCCCCCCCTTCCCAACTCATCCTGCTATGCAGAGTGTTTTTCCCACCCCACCCTGCTTCTTAGAGCAGTTGACCTGACTCTGAACTTAATTTCTTCCAGGATGAAGTGCCTTTTTGAATGTTGTTTTAAGATTTAAAAAAAAAATCACTTTTGTATAAGGGGTATTTCCAAAATCTTTTAGTCTTGTATTGTTTAAATGCTTGAAAAAAAAAAAGACAAAGAAGAGTTGGGAGACTTTTTATAGAGCAACGTATAAACTATGGAATCAAAGGAGAAATTGGGGAAAGCTTGTGGATTCCGCTCTCCAAGTTACTATCCTTAAAAAACAACTACAACAACAACCAATGGCTATATTTTGTACCACATTTGAAGCTGCGTACCAATAGGTAGAAGTAAATGGGATAATATCCAGAGTGGAGATGCAATTCCCTTGCTGATTTGGGTAACGTTTTGCACTTAGATTAGGGCATTTCTGCATTTTATTTTATTTTTTTAAATTGTGGCATTCAGCAAAATGGAATGGGAAACGCCCATCCTATGCCAGTCCTTGTTCCTTTTAAGAAGAGTCTTTGATTGTGTTTGCTAACGCACAACTGCCTGGTGTTTTCTGATGTCAGGGATAACAGAGAGAGAAAGCATAGAAGACAATGAGTGTATTTATTAAGTGTGAGATATTTATAGTGAGCTGTTTCAAACGATGGGCTAAAGTCTGGGGGGGGGGGGAGAAGAAGTTTCTTTCCATAATCCTCCTTCTTTCAATGGCCCTTGTGCAAGACGCTTCCCTTTATTATTATTTTTTAAAGCTGTGCCCTGTGTTTTGTTTTTTCTGTTAACTGCTGCTCACCAAATGGAACTGAACCTTGGCTGTTAATACTGTTCCTTGCCGCTGTGCCTGTGCTACTGGAATTTCAAAAGACCTTTACATACTTATTTTCTGGCCAATGTAGTCACGTGTCAATCAGTTAATTTTTTTTTTTTTAATTTACCATCAGCGTTTCCACGGTGGAATTTTTCTTCCCTTCATGCTTCTTCCATTTTTTTTAAAAAAAAAAGAAAGAAAAGAAAAATAGGGATGTTGTTTCTATGCTTTAATTCTATGATGGAACATTTGATTTTTTTTTTTCCTTAGAAACGTTCTAATCTGATCTAGGGTTGGTGCGTGGAGATCCTTAGAACTGGACATCATTTAGGGAAAATTGGGTTATCCGAGTAAAAAGCTTTTAGTGTTTTTATTTGGTATGTGCTTATTCCTTAGTATAGAACAAGGTTTGATTTTTCTCCAAAAAAACCACAAACCTGTTAAGTACATTGGACTGAGACAGGGGTAGGCCACCTTGGCTCTTTTATGACTCGTGGACTTCAACTTCCAGAATTCCTCAGCCACCATGGCTCAGCTTGGAAACCTCTCCCTTTCCATGGCTGGCTCAGGAATTCTGGGAGTTGAAGTCCACGAGTCATAAAAGAACCAAGGTTGCCTACCCCTGGACTGAGAGAAAGCACAATTACACCACACTGACTTATACATTTTATTTTGTTTTTTGTTTTGTCAAATCATTCTCTGTTCTTTAGATCAGACATGTTAAACACAAGGCCCGGGGACGGGATGCGGCCCGCGAAGTGGTTTCATGTGGCCCGCGAAGCCATCCTGGAAACAGTGAGGGAACGGCCCCCGCTGCCTTGGCCCTGGCCCAGGCCAGCTGGGAGCCAATGTACAATTTTGTGGTGGCCATCTATGCTGAAACACATTCAGTCTTAGCTCCATAAGTGTCCCCCCCCCCGCATGGCCTGAGAGGAACAGTGAGGCTCCTCCGGTGGACCATGCCTTGGCGCTTGCCCTGGTCCCACCCCCTTCTGCCAGAGACCCTCAGATCTATCCCGCTCCTGCCCAGGCACCCTTGACGCGAACGATGTAGAGCTGGCCACGCCCACCCAGTAGGCCACACCCACTCCAGCCACACTCATACAGTAGGCTGCACCCACTCTGGCCACACCCACCCAGCCCCCTGAGGGCAACCGCAATGCTGATGCAGCCCTCAGTGAAATTGAGTTTGACACCCCTGCTTTAGATGGATGCTTTTTTAAAAAAAAATCCTTGGAGGGAAACATTGCGATAAACATCGAGGATGTTGTTCTTCCATACAATATGTTTTTCTCTCTTTTTTGGACTTTTTGAATCCAAAAGAGGGTGCACTTCAGTCGTATTTTTCCATCTTCCTTGTAAATTCACTTTTATTCTTTTTTTTACACCAACTGAAGTCCTTTGGAATGCTCAAATTAGCCATAGTGGACAAGAACTGTCTTAAAAAAAATAATTGGTGCTTATCCCAGTTTTTTTAAAAAAATAATTGGTGCTTATCCCAGTTTTAAAAAAACCTCTCAGAGGCTGAAATAGCAGGTTCTTGCTCCTTGCCTTTGCCAAATTTTAGTTGAATTTGTTAAAAGGGTCAAAAAAACAACAACCCAGAAGCAGTTAAGAAGCAGACAGGCCCGTTGATTCGGTATGAACATTCAGGGTAACATCCCTAGGCAGAAAACAGGAGATCAGAGGCACAGTAAAACAAAAAGCCAAAAACTAAACTTGTGACTCCCTAGTGTTTGGAGAGCTCTACAGTATTGTATAAGCAGGACAGTCCTATATGAACCCCAAAGAATTCCCTCTGCGCATATCTTCATCTTATTGAAGGTCCTTCTTTTAATCGTACATTTTGTCCTCCAAGAATCTGATTTATAGAGAATAATAACCTGTGAAGTGTTGGTGGTTTTCTTTGCTTTTTATTTCCTTCTTTCTTTTGTTTGAAGTTTTATTTAAATGCTGGTTAGGTCCATGAAACTTAACTTTAGTGACATCTTTAATTTGGGATTTGACTTGAAAAATAGTGAAGCATTTGTACTGCCAAAGCGTGTTCTCTAAGCAGTATTTTTTTTTTCCACTGTGTTTCTGGCTATCTGAGCCACGAATACAGACTGCAGGGAAAAAAATTCAGGTTGTAACAGGGGCAAATATGATGGTAACGGTTGAAGAAAAATGGCAGTGGTTTTTCTGGCTTGTCTTGAATCTTTTGATCTTCCCAACAACCAGTTTCCATCATATCTTGCCCTTTCTAATACAGTGTGTGTGTCTTTGACAGTTTTATGCGATCTTTTGTGCATAACGCAGACCATTTTGTTTGATGTTCACTTTTTAATAAAATCGGTGGGGGGAGGGGTTCTCCCTCTATCCGGTTGCCTTAAATGTCTGTGAATGAATGTCGATTACGAAAAGTGTCTTGTTAAGTGGTGGGAATCCCACATCCAGCAGGCAATAGAACTTCCGGTGGGGGTCACAATTCTGATAAATTTTGGGATGAGGAAATTGATCCAATTTTGTGGAAAATCGTGGTCACAACAGTTTTCCTAACTTGAGAACACTTTCAGGAAGTTACTTGTGGAAGTCTGAAGAAAATCTGTTTTAAAAATGTAGGCATTACTTCTGTTTGTGTGGGATTTTCTGAGGCAGTACATTTGGGGGAATTGTTTATCTTGTTTATGAAGCATCTTAACAGCCATATTCAAGGTGCTTAAGAATCCTTTAGAATTGTTGTCCTGGTTTCCTGATCTGTGATCTGCTGCCCGTTTGGAGAAGAAAACCAGTGAGCCATTGAGCTGTCCAATCAGTTATTTCCAAACTTCTTTTAATACAGTGATTCTGAACCTGTGGGTCAGGACCCCATTTGGGGTCGAATGACCATTTCACGGGGTCACCAAACAACGCAGTCCGCCATTTTCTTTCCCCCTTTTCCTTAGCTGTGCTACTCCCTTTTATTCTCTTGGCTTTTGAAAGCCAATAGAATAGACTCTCTTGAATAGAGTCTAATTCTATTGGCTTTCAAAAGCCAATAGGAATTGTCCAGGCTGTCTCTGCCCTGCTGAGCCCGCCAAAAGTCCCATTCTGCAAACGGTGCTGCACCACTTGAGTAGTCCTCGACTTACGACCGGTTGGGGCTCGCGGCATTAAAAAGGTTGAGAACCACTGTTTTAATACAAGGCAGAGGATACCTTGTATGCAACGTGCAATCCTGCATTGCTGTAAATTAGAATTCTGTTGACATCTACACAATTTTCAGAAACTCACTGACCAGTTGCATTTGCCCTGGGTTGAACGCAACATGTTGGCTTCTTGTAGAAAGGTTAGCCAAGATGTTGCTCCTGATTGGAAGGGGAAAAGTCAACAACATCTACCACGTTCTGCAGCGTAACTGAATGATAGCACTTTGAATATCTGAACACAAGCAGCTCAGGGAGCAGATGGGGGCGGAGTCAAAAAAGCCGATAACGTGAGTGAAAAGAGGGCGGGGCTTCAGTCCTTACGGTTGCAGCCGTCTTTAATCCACGAACCCTGCTCCAGAGTCCCGAATCTAGCTTCTGCTTACTTGACTTGTTTTGTTAAAAAACTATTATTACTCATCCCATGAAATGAAATTTAACAAAGTCATGACCATCAATAAAATATTTCTGAAAATCCCTCCCCCCCCGCCACCAGGGATATGTAACTTTGCATATTCAGCTGCAAGTTTGATTTGCTTTTAATGCTCTGGATTTCTCTATACACAGGTGAATATAATAATAATAAAGTTGGAGGTCATCTGGTCCAACCCCTTGCTCAGGCAGGAAACCCTATACCGTTTCAGACAAATGGCCGTCCAGTCAGTGATGTACATATTTCAACCTTGTGTCATTACTTGTTTTGAAGTGTTGCCTCTTGAGAAGTTCTGTTGTCAGTTGTATTTTGGGAGATTTTGTGTGTGTGGGGGGAGGGTAATTTAGAAATGCAGCACCAGCACTTGAAGAATTCCTAGAGTATAAAATTCTCTCCCCCTTTTCTTCTCTTCAGTTTTCCTTGCACTCATAAGCAGCTTATGGATTCGTTGGATAGCATGAAAGAATTATGTCCACTCAGTCTTTCCTCTTGCTTGATAAAGTTACTCAGGTCTTTCCACAGTGAGTAACTTACACAGCAGGTGAAAGGAGAAATGAGAGACCTGACACTGCTGTTTTTTCTAAACACTTGACAGCTCTGCAGAATTGTTATTTCCATTTTGTATTTCATTGTACTTAGTGTAATTCACCTAACCTTCTAATTTTGATCTCAATTTGGGAAGCAAAATATCCTGGATACCAATAAACAAATATCCACAACAGTTAAATAGACAAATATTGGCTATTGTGTCCAGAAATATATTTTACCAGAACTGGAAAAGGACGGG